AGAAGGTAGAAACAGATGGAGAATAAGAGAGCAGTGGGGGAAGGAGGATCTTACCTGAACATGTTGGTGAGAGGAATTACACACTGATGATCCCATCTGGCCAAACAAAAATACATTGAGAGCCTGAGAAGGGGCAGAACTGCTGTTTCTGGCCCCTTCCCCAACCCGTTGCTCAGCTGCCCTCCCAGATGCAAAAATCCTGCCAGGCATTAGAGAGGAACAAGGTTTAAAAATGGTGCAAACAAGAGGGAGGGGGTCCTCCAAACCATGTCAGGCACTCAAAGTACCACGTAAAGTGTCCTTTGCTGTGTCAAACACATAATGCGACCTGACTGCCAACGGCTCTCAGTGCAGCAGCCCAGGGAGTGTCAGACTCCACGTCCCTGGGGATTTGAGCATTTGAGATCAACGGAGATAGGCTATTATAGACATGCTGTCAAGAGCCCAAATGAGTGTGCAGCTAAATAATTCTCATATGAATAAAAAAAAGAGAGAGAGCTGGCAGAGATGGACAGACCTGCTGGAGCAGAGGGTATTGATCAGCTGCTTCTTAAACTCTTCCCCAGTCAGTTCACCTGGAAAAGCACAAGATGGGTAGGAACGCGCTCGGAGGAAAGGAAGGATGGAGCAGGGCAGGGGAAACAAAAGGGGTTACCTTTCCCATAGGCCAAGCTTTCCTTCAAGGAAGCCAACCTGGTAAGAAGTGTGGAAAACAGCTCCAAGGACTTCGCATTAGACAGGTTACCTCCTTTGATGAGCTCAACAAACAGAGTGGCCAGTTCAGCCAAGGCAGAGCCCGGCAAGTGATGGGCCTGATAAAAAAGATGCAAGAAAGGGCTCGAGGAGGGTCAGGGAACAGCAAACCTCCCTCCGAGAAGCAGACACCCACAGCCTGCAGGTCCTGCCCGTGCAGCCCAACACCCGGCGGCTTCGACCGGGCGGCTGTTATCTCGTGTTAGCGTCCAGCCCAGCTTCGCTATCAGCTTGGAGACTCAAAACTACCATCAAACAACAATCGCTGCACAGGGCCCAAACCGCTGGGGATGGTGTGGCTCCCTTCTCCTGTGGCCCCGGCGGTCGAGTCGAGACCCTGAACCTATGCCGGGGATGGGATGGGATGGGATGGGATGCCCCGCCGAAACCCGGCCGTCCCGCGAAAGCGAGGTCCTACCTCCAGCATCAGCAGCCCGATGGTCTCGGAGGCGCGGTCCGAGGGCAGCTCCCCCGACTCCACCAGCCGGACGCAGCGCTTGTAGGCCTGCAGCCTCCGGAGCACCCCGCCGGGCTGGGAGCACGGGGAGGCTGGGGGCAGAGATGGGGGCAGGGGGAGAAAGCGTCGCGCCTGGTTAGGGAGACGGGCCGGCGGGGCCCTGATCCGCGCGGCGCGGCGCGAGGGCCGAGTCCCGGGGAAAGTCACCTCGGAAGATGCCCCGCAGCAGGGCGGCCGCCTCCTGTCCCGTCAGCGCCGGATCCAGCTCCAGCTCCGCCACCGGCGCGCCCGGCTGCGAGTCCCGAGCAGGGGCCTGGCCTGGCCCCACCGCCCCCGGGCTACTCGGCTCCATCCCGGCCCGCGGCCCCGCTCCCCCCACCC